TCAGCTGCCTCCTGTACACAACCCTTCCATGGGGACCAAGCCCAAAACCCAGGCATGTGCCCTGACCAGAATCAAACCAGTGACCTCTTGGTACATTGGGTCAATGCTCAACCACTGAGCCATACCTGTTGGGCTTTTATGGCGTTTTTTGTTTGTTTGTTTGTTTGTTTGTTTGTTTTGTGGTACATGCCCCTAGTGGGAACCGAACCCGGGACTCTCTGGTCCGTAGGCCAACGCTCAACCGCTGAGCCAAACTGGCCAGGGCTTTTATGGAGTTTTTAATTACAAAGTAATATATGGCCCCAGCCAGTTTGGGCTCAGTAGTTTGAGTGTCATGTGGGAGGCAACCAATCCATATGCCTCTCTCACATCAATGTTTCTCTCTCTCCTTCCCACCCTCCCTTTCACTCTATCTAAAAATCAACGGAAAAATATCCTTGGGTGAGGATTAACTGAAAAAAAAGTAACATGTTTTTTGCAAAAATTTAAATAGCCCTGGTCAGTGTAGCTTAGTTGGTTGGAGTAATGTCCTTTACACCAAAGGGTTGTAGGTTTAATTCCCAGTCAGGGCACATATGGTACTGGGTTTTGGGTTCAATCACTGCTCAGAGTGTATACAGGAGGCAACCAATCAATGTTTTCTATCACATCAGTGTTTCTCTCTTCCTTCTCCCTCTCCCTCTGTTCCTCTCCCTCTCCCTCTCTCTCTCCTTCTGCTTCCCTCCCTTCACCTCTTTCTAAAAAGAAATCAATAACTATATCCTTAGATGAGGATTTAGAAAAAAGAGTTTAAACAACACAGACATGCGCAGAGAGCAAAATTTTAAATGTTCTCCACCACCCCTTTTCTAACCCATTTCCCAAACCCCATTTAAGTTTAGTATGTATCTTTCCAGATTTTGTCCCATGGGTGTTGAGCTAACACACAAGATGAAACCACCAAGTCAGACTCACAAAATCAGTAATATTACCTAGTATCAAGATATACAAATTACTTCAAGGGTACAATCAAGAGGCTCTAATGAAACAGAGATATCTAGTACACAGAAGATAGCTTCTCAGACCATGTTTTCCCACACTGATCATGCTTTTTTGATCCGGAATAATAGATGAGGTTTCTAAGGGAGAGTCACTGCATACAGTAGAAGTATCTAAATTATGAATTAGCTTATGTGACATTTTTTTTTATCTTTATTGTTGAATGTATTACAGATGTTCCTCATTTTTCCCCCATTGACCCTCTCTTCCCTCCTCCCGCCCCCCTCCTGCCTTTCCCCACACTGTTGTCTGTGTCCATTGGTTATGCATATAAGTTCTTTGGTTTATTTCTTCCCACCCCCAAACCCCTCTTCCCTTCGAGGTTTGTCAGTCTAGCAACCAATTTGTTCTTAATCCCTTCACCTTTTTCACCCATTCCTCCAACCTCCCTTCCATCTGGCAACCAACAAAATGTTCTCTGTATCTATGAGAATATTTCTGTTCTGCCTGTTCATTTTGGTTGTAGATTCCATTGTCAGTAGATATGTATTGTCATTTTGTCTGTTCATATATTTTATCTTTTTCTTCAAAAAGACCCTTCAACATTTCATATAATAACAGTCTGGTGGTGATGAACTCCTTTAACTTTTTCTTGTCTGAGAAACTCTTTATATGGCCATCGATTCTAAATGACAGGTTTGCAGGGTAGAGTAATCTTGGTTGTAAGTTCTTGCTTTTCATCACTCTTGGGGTTCATCTTGTTTGGGACTCTCTGTGCTTCCTGGACTTGTATGTCTGTTTCCTTCACCAAGTTAGGGAAGTTTTCTGACATTATTGTGTCAAATAGGTTTTCGATTTCTTGTTCTCTCTCTTCTCCTTCTGGCACCCCCAAGATGCGAATGTTGGCACACTTGAAGTTGTCCTGGAGGCTCCTTACACTCTCCTCATTTTTTTGGATTCTTTTTTCTTTTTGCTGTTCTGATTGGATGTTTTTTGCTTCCTTATATTCCAAATCAATGGTTTGCTTCTTGGTTTTACCTACTCTACTATTGAATCTGTGTAAATTATTCTTTATTTCAGTTAGTGCCTCCTTCATTTCTGACTGGTCCTTTTTTATGCTCTTGAGGCCCTCACTAAGTTCACTGAGGTTCTCACTAAGTTCGCCGAGGTTCTCACTAAGTTCATTGAGCATCTTTATAAGTAGTATTTTGAACTCAGCATCTGTTAGGTTGCTTATCTCCATTTCGCTTAGTTCTTTTCCTAGAGATTTTTTTCTGTTCTTTCATTTGGAACCTGTTTCTTTGTCTCCTCATTTTGGCTTCCTCCCTGTGTTTGTTTCTGTGTATTACTTAATGGGAGGTATGGGGCTAGCTGAGACCAGATGCTGCTCATTTGAAAGAATTTAGGAAAACCAGAAGCAGGATCCAAGACAGGCCAATCCTATGGTTAAGCAACTGGCAACAGCTTGGGTGGGCCTGAAAGTTGGGTGGGGCTGGGCCTCAGGGAGTCACCAGGGCGGGTTACCAGTGTGAGCCAGGTTGCTGGAGTCCCAGATCTGGTGGCTGTCTGCCACCCCAGGGAAGGGCTCACCAAAGGAACAAAGGCCTCTGACAGCAGGATTGTCCCGGAGAAAGCCCCCTCTCCAGCCCTCGCTCCACTGCCAAACAGCTCAGTTCTTCCCTGTATGACTCTGGTGCCCCTCGAGCTGCCTCCCCTCCAAGCTTAGAGGGAGAGAGTCCGATAAGTCCGTGCGCGGGCCCTTTAAGGAGCTGCCTGGGGCTCCAACTGCCTCAGCCTCCCTGAGCCTCAGTTCCCGCTGGTTTTTCCAGCCAGAAGTTATGAGGTTTCTCTTCCTGGCACTGCGACCCTGGTCAGGGCGCCTGGTGTGGGACGGGGACCCTTCAGTCCTCAGGGAGGACCTTCCCAGCTGAGGTGTCCTGATTTTTATTCGCCACACGTGGGTGTGGGACCAGTCCATCTGCCTCCGCCCCTCCTACCAGTCTCGATGCAACTGCTGCTTTAATTCCGTAGTTGTAGGACTTCCATTCAGTTCGATTTCAGGCGGTTTTGAATGATGGTTATTCTGCAGTTTAGTTGTAACTTTGATGTGGTTGTGGGAGGACGGATACCGTGTTTACCTACCCGCCATCTTGACGAGAAGTTCCTTTATGTGACATTCTTCAGGAAATTAAGCCTCATAGATCCTGGATTTATCTACTATAGGTAATCTTTAGCCAGGAACATCTTGCTAAGAGCATTTCGGAGATAAGTTTCCTTCCTCCTAGCATTAAGATCATTAAGATCTTTACTCAAGGTGCAAAGATCACCTTCCTTCTTCCCTCTTCTCCCAGGAAAGGGAGTAAATGGATTACAGTCCACCTCCTTTAACTTCTTCCTTACAGGCAATACATATGTTTATATTTAAATGTTGGTTCTGTATGTTGAGTGTTTTTATATTAAAGTAGGATTTTAGATCAATAGATGTAGTTCTACATCTATACACCATTAATATATCATGGACATTTCTCTTTGTGCTTCCAACTCATTTATTTAAATGGCTGCATAGAAAGTATTTTGATGTTCCATGACTGGCATTGTATTTATAAACTAGTAAAGTTCTATAAAATAAATTTCAACTGTTAGGAACTCTAGATAGTAGTATAGACCTCAAGTATAAATGTAATAATTTGGACATGGATTATTTATTGTGGTGAAAAACACTTTTAGCAAATATTCTAGAAGTTAATATGTGAATATGACTGTAGCTTTGAGTGGCTTGTCTAATCCTTGTTTAGTGAGCCTAGCTTGTGGTCATGTTTGTGCCAAATGTGGAGGACGGTTACCTACAGTGGGTAATGATGGTTTGTGGTTCCTCCATGGGATTCTCAGATGACATCAGTAGTATAACTAGAATTAGTAACTATCTTAAAATAGACTGTATTTCTTGAGATGGTCTTCTATAAAAAACAAAATTCCGAGGCTGGATTTCTTAGACCAGCCTTCCAATACTAGTACCTCAGATAATTTCCATGAAGTCCAGACTCCTACTGGTGACCCAGTAACTTCTCCTTCAGAATAGTGTTTTCTGGACTAAGTAAAAATATATTATCATATTTAACATTATAAGCTTACTATATGTTTTCATATTAAAATTCTAATAGGCAAAAAGTTAGTAGTATAGTCTTCCAAGTACCAAGGAAATTAAGATTTGAGATGGTATATGAAATGATATCTACTGTATTTGAAGATTAAAAATACTACCTTAAATTTTAATATGACCTTTTATCTTTATTTTATCCATGGATACCATGTGAATGAACAAAGACTGAACTTTTTATAGATTGCCCTAGCCCGTGTGGTTCAATTGATTGAGCATCATCTGGTATACCAAAAGATCACCAATTGGATTCCTGGTCAGGGCACATACCCAGGTTACAGGTTCGATCCCAGGTTAGGGCAAATATGGGAGGCATTTGATTGATGCAGCTTTCTAACATCTATGTTTCTCTCTGTTTCTCCTCCTCCCTTTCTCTTTCTCTCTAAAAAAAAAAAGGTATTTTAAAAAAATTATGAGGTATAAATTTGGGATCACTTTGTTCTAAAATAAACAAAATATTAATTTTTCTAGGGTAAAATATACTCAAAGAGTGAGCTTTACTTTCAAATTTACAGGAAGCAAAATAAGTTGAAGATGGAGTTTGTGAATTTTCAGATGATCTATGTTGATATAATTCTAAACTTTGAATGAGTTAATCTTTTTTTTTTAATCCTCACTCGAGAGCATATTTCCATTTATCTTCAGAGTATGAAGTGGGGAGAGAGAGAAACATTGATGTGAGAGAGAAACAACAATTGGTTGCTGCCCAAATAATCCCGACCAGGGCCGGCGACCAAACCAAAACTGAGGTATGTGCCCTTGATCGGAATCAAGGGCACATACAAGATTGTGGTTGTTTTCAGGTGACTGGTAGTGAAGTAGTGGACAAAAATTAATTTTCTAATCTTTGTATCATGTTTTTTAGCTCCCCAGTTGTTGCAAGGTCTCACTGTTTGGAGAAAGTTTACACTAGGAAGCTGAAGCCATTAATGGGTGAATATGATCAGATTTCTCCACCAAGTTCTCAGCCTGATAAAGGTAAGGTTCCATTTACTTATTTATTGATGTCTGCACCATCTGTGGTCTTTCAGAACTGGTTTCTTTTACTTAGCATGTCTTCAAGGTTCATACATGTTGTACCATATCAGTACTTTATTTCTTTTTATTGCTAAATGATATTCCATTGTATGAATATACCACATTTTATCCATTCATTAGTTACGGACACTGAGTTGTTTCTACTTGTTAGCTGTTATGAATAATGCTGCTATGAACATTTGTATACAAGTTTTTGTATGGACATAGGTTTTCAGTTCTCTTGGGTGTATACCTAAGAGTGAAATTGCTAGGTCATATGGTAACTCTATGTTTAACATTTTGAGGAGCTCCCAAACTGTTTTCCAGAGTACCTACAACATTTTACATCCCCACTAACAATGGATGAAATTTCCACCCTTACACTCAATATCATTTGTCATTTTGATGATCTGTCATTTTGATTAACCATCCTAGTGAAGTGTGAAGTAAAATCTTTTTTCAGTTCTATAATCCCTGATCTGTATATTGCGTTGTGTGTAAAATCTCTTTACTATTAAAATTTTTCAAACATAAAAGTAAAGTAGTATGAATTTTCATGTACCCATCATTCAGTTTCAGCAATATCAACATCTTTTCAATCTTGTAACTTTTTTAATATAGCTTTCTTAAAGTATAGTTGATATACAATAAACTGTGCATATTTAAAATATCCAATTTGATGGGTTTTTTGTTACTTTTTTTTTTTTTTATCCTCACCCGAGGACATTTTTCCATTTTTTGTTCAGATAGAGTGGGAGGGAGAGAGAGGAACAGAGAGAGAGAGAAACATCGATGTGAAGGGACACATCGAGTGGCTGCCACCCGCACGACCGACCAGGGCCGGGGACAAACTGCAACCGAGGTACGCGCCCTTAGCGGGAACCGAACCCGGGTCTCTCCGGACCACAGGCCAGCGCTCTAACCGCTGAGCCAAACCGGCCAGGGCTTTTGTTACTTTTTTAAATATGTTTTTATTGATTTCTTTAGAGAGAGGAAGGGAGAGATAGAAACAGGGCACTATCATCTCATAGTAAGTACATTTTCTGCTGTGTTTGTATCTATGTAGGATTTTAGGTAGAATTAAGGAAGAGAAGCAGGAATAGTGTTGCCCCCTCCCCCAAAAGAATCAAACAAGCAGACAAAAACTAGTATACGTACTCTAAAATTTTTTTGAAACTTTTCTACATCAATTACTACACTTCCCTCTCAGCTTTTACCTCTATTTCCTCCCTCAGCCCTCCCACCAGTAGTTTTATGGAGAACAAACCAGAAGGCATCTTAGAATGCTTTTTCACCAATCAGAAGTAACGGAATGAAATCCAAGTCCTGTATAGAAGAGACGGAACTCTGTTCTCTCATTTTCCTTTATGCCCTGTACCTAAGAGTTTTATCTCATAGCTGAATTTCTAATTTACAGCATTCCCAAACCATTTTATAAACATCCTTTTACTTTTAAGTCCTATAGTACTCTAGTCAGGTGAGTATGTGTGTTTATTTCATTGTGTTTGGGTGAACTGAAGAGTTTAAAAATTGAATGACTTCTTCATGGTTCTGTTACTTCTCTTAGAAAACAATATTCAAGAATAAAAAAAGAAAATATATAAGAAACTAATTAATCAGAACTTTAGAAAATATATGAACATCTAGATCAGGCCACCCACCATGGATGTGTAGTTCTTACCTACACATCTCTACATGCCTTACATTTTTAGCCCTATAACAAAATCTTATGTGTCAGCTTTCTGCTCCCTTATCCCTCTTCTGAGAAGGATAAAGTTCCTTGTGAGTAGCCTGGGAGATATTTGACTATCCTGATACTCCTTTTTGGCATGTAATGTCATGATATTTAACTTTTATACTGAATTAGGTTTTAATTTGTTTGGGCTTCTATGTTTTATTTTGAAGCTTTCAAAATAAAGATACATTGAGAATAAAGTAATCTAGTAAGAAGAATTTTATTTTATCTTCTCTACAGAGAATCCCTTGTTGTCAACCTAATGAAGCATTCAAAGAAGACATATGACTCTTTTCAGGATGAACTTGAAGATTATATCAAAGTGCAGAAAGCCAGAGGCTTAGAACCAAAGACGTGTTTTAGACAAATGAGAGAGGACTATTTAGAAACCTGTAGGTACAAAGAAGAGGTTGAATTCAGACCCAGGTATAGAATGTTTGATCAAAGAATCCCATCTGAAAGCATCCAGACCCATCCAAGGTCATGCAGTATTTCACAGACAGTGGGAAACCAGTTACCTCAGTGGCTGCCGGCTCATGACAGCAGGCTGAGACTAGACTCCCTAAGCTACTGTCAATTCACCAGGGACTGTTTCTCAGAAAAACAAGTACCTCTGAACCTTAGTCAGCAGGAGTATAATTATAGCCCATGCAGTGTAGAATCTAGAGTTTACAAGCACCTCTCAGAAAACAGTACCAGTGCCCATAAAGCCAGTCATGAACGGACACATCAGAAGAGAAAAAGGCACCCAGAAGAAGGCAGAGGAAAATCAGAAGAGAAGCAGCCCAACCATAAGAGGAAAAAAGGTTGTGAGGAAACAGATTTAGACAAGAGCATCCAAAAGAAAACAGAGGTAGAAACAGTCAGGATCAGTACAGAGAAGCTTAAGAATCAACGGGAGAAAAAGAGACGAGACGTAGCCTCTAAGAAAGAGGATCGTAAGCATAGAAAAGAGAGAAAGGAACAAGGCAAAGAAAGGACAGAGGAGGAAATGCTATGGGACCAGTCTATCCTTGGATTTTGAAGCTCTGAGGTTAAACTGAAAAATCAGTGAGGAGCTTGGTTTTATGATGTTCATATTCATAACACTTTTCTCATGTAAACAACTATTTTAACTTCTAACAAAGGCCAAGTGAACAGAAAGTATTTGGGCCCTGGCCGGGTAGCTCAGTTGGTTGGAGCATCGTCCTGATATACCAAGCTTTCAGGTTCGATCCCCAGTCAGGGCACATATAAGAAGCAACCAATGAGTGCAGAAATAAGTGGAACAACAAACTGATGTTTTTCTCTTTTTCTCTCCCCCTTTCCCTTCCTCTCTCTCTCTAAAATCAATCAATAAATAAAAATTTTGAAAAAGTATTTAGTATGCTTGATCTCCAACATGGAAATTACTTTTATTTATTTTTCTAAAAGCATTATTACATTTTTCTTATATATAATGTAATTTCCCTTAATGAGAGTAGCTTTGCTTTTATTCATCAAATTGCTATGATGATGGAAGTATTTTTCCCTTGGGAACTCATTTATTTCAAACTGGAGGGTTATAGGCTTTGTAGAATCTATTTCTTGATTGGTTTGTTTTTGTTTGGGGTGGAATATTTTTATATTCAATAGTTTTCTCGAAATAATTTAGATTTTTGTCCTGTTAGATATATGTTCTGGTTTTTTTTGTTTTTTGTTTTTTGAAGCTCTGTGTTTTCTAGATTGAAAAGTAGAAAATGAAATACATTAAAATAATAAGCTTAAGTCACATGTAGTTTTAAAAGTTTCAAAGAGTCTTGACACAAACTCAGTTTATAACAAATGTTTATAATAAAGTGTCTTATTTCTATATTTGTTGTTCTGTATCAATGATCTGTTCCCATTCAAAGATACTGAGCAGTTTGGCCCTGGCCGGTTTGGCTCAGCGGTTAGAGCGTCAGCCTGCGGTCCAGAGAGACCCGGGTTCGGTTCCCGCTAAGGGCACGTACCTCGGTTGCAGTTTGTCCCCGGCCCTGGTTGGTCGTGCGGGTGGCAGCCACTCGATGTGTCCCTTCACATCGATGTTTCTCTCTCTCTGTTCCTCTCTCTCCCTCCCACTCTACCTGAACAAAAAATGGAAAAATGTCCTCGGGTGAGGATAAAAAAAAAAAAAAAAAAAAAAAAAAGATACTGAGCAGTTTGTACTTAAGGGGCAAGGTCTTTTGGGTAGGTCACACTTTACAGTTATAAAAATTCCTTATCAGCTATCCTTGTTCATTCATATTTAAACCCACTGTCCCCCCTCTCACCTCAGTTCTCTTTCATGTAACCAGTCTCCCTGCCTTTGCTGGGCTACTGCCTGACTCAGCCCTGATCCCTGTCTGAGTCACCGACTTACCTAGCCTTCTGCCTCACTGGGCCCCAAATAGCAAAGAAGAAAGGAGAGAAGAGGGGGTAGATGACCTATTTTATTTTAAACTGATCACAAACCTTCAATCAAGTTTTCCCACTCAGATGTATTTTATATTCTCCCCTCTCTCTCCTAACCTTCCCCTTTCTGCTGATGACCTCACCTCACACTCCAGTGAGAAAATAGAGGCCTTCATGGGGGAACTTATTCATCGTCCTACCACCAGATCCATAAACTTCCCTCAAATAGTCTGTTCTCGGATTTCCTTCCTGTTACCAATAAAAGTGCCCTTGCTCTTATTAAAGACAAATTCCTCCCCTTATGCACTGGATCCTACACCCTTTTACCTTCTCAAGGACTTTCGCACCACAAATTTCCTTTACTGGATCACACACACACGTACGCACGTATATATTTGCACTCAATTCAGCCTCTCGGCAGCTTTCATCTGGGGTTGGTCAGTCCCTCTTCCTGAAATGCTCCTCTCAGCTTCCACAGCACCACTTTCTCCTGATTGTCCGTACCTCCATACCCCTCCTCATGGTCCCCTTTACTGGTTCTTCCTCTACTCACCTATAAATGCATCATGTGCATTGCATCAGGAGCCAGTCCAAGACCACCACTCTAATCGCACATCATAAGTGATGTCACCCAGGCCCATGGCTTTAAATTTTCCAGTTTGTTGATATGGACAGGATGTTCCCCACCTCCAAATTCATGTTGAAATCTAATTCCCAATGTAAGGATATATGGAGGTGAGCCTTTGGGTTATAATTAGTCATGAAGGTAGAGACCTCATGAATGGGATTAGTGCCCTTAAAAGAGGCCAGAATGCCCACCCAGTGTGGCTCAGGGGATTGAGCAGAGTCCCATGGACTGAGAAGTCCCAGTTCGATTCCCCATCAGGCAGCACATGCCCAGGCTGTGGGCTCGATCCCCAGTAGGTGGCGTGCAGGAGGCAGCTGATGGATGTTTCTCACATTAATGTTTCTCTCTCTCTAAAAAAGAACATTTTTTTTTTTAAAGGCCAGAATGCTAACTAAGCCACCCAGACTAAATTATGGTAATTTTTTATAGCAGCCCAAACTGATTAAAGAGTGTTGAAACCTCTATAAATTTCTATTTTTGGACTAGATCTCCTTGAGTTCTAGACCCACATCCAACTGCATTAATGTGTATCTCCATTGCTTCCCTCATCACCAGTCTTTATTGTTCCAGTGTTTCCCATCTTTGCAAATAACACCAACTCAACTGTTTATGCCAAAAAATCACTAAAATCACAGGACCCTTCTACATCAGACCATTAATTCCTCCTGGTTATATCACCAAATCATCTCTCCTGTGGTCCAGTTCTCTCCATCTTCACTGGCACCACCCTGCCCCAAGCCATCATGTATCCCATATCAAACAGGACAAATAGTCTGAGAAGAACAGCAAACCTGGAAGAAGTCATCCCAGGCTCCGAGCGGGTGAGTGCAACACCTGTAAGAGAAGCACCAAGAGTCCATAGTGTCTTGGTCATCTAAGCCCTGAGGATTTCAGAACCATCCAGCAAACATTTCCTTCCAGAAGGTAGAGAAACCAAATCGAGCAGGGAAATCACACTGAGGGTGAGGGAAAGCGAAGGTTCAAATCGTAGGGAGCAGGGGAAGGTCCAAGATGAAGCAGAACCCTGATAGTACCGCAACAGCATGGAGCATCCAAGGTGAGACCACTACCTCGGCAGGCAAGGCCTGTCGGCCTGCAGGGAAGAAGGCAGAAAGACTTCTGAACCAGGAGTAGCTCTCGGAGGCAGAGAAGTAGCCAAGTTTTGAGCTTTTCACAGCTGAGAAATGTATCCTAGGCCACCCCCCTCTTCACAGAAATGTCCCCTCAGTAGTCCAGGTTAATACATTTCATTTAAACTTTGGAAGAAGTTGGAGGGGGGGCAGATATGATCTAGCCACACATAAAATGTTACAAGAGAAAAATACACGAAAATAGTTTTACTAGAAGACACCAGTAAAATGCAGACACAAAGCATGTGAAAACTAACCTAACACTTCAAAAAGGCTGAAAGAGAATAAGAAAAGAGAGCTTTGAGAGACACTCCTAACACAGAAAAATAACTCTGAAATAAAACAGCCAGACAACTACGCAACTGGAAAAGACAATTATTAATTCCAGGTAAAAGAAAATGTATGCCCTGGCTGGTCTGGCACAGCGGTTAGAGCATTGGCCTGCGGTCCAGAGAGACCCGGGTTTGGTTCCCGCTAAGGGCACGTCCCTCGGTTGCAGTTTGTCCCCGGCCCTGGTTGGGTCGTGTGGGTGACGACCACTCGATGTGTCCCTTTCACGTTGATGTTTCTCTCTCCCTCCCACTCTGTCTGAACAAAATATTGAAAAATGTCCTCGGGCGAAGATTATAAAAAAAAAGAAAAGAAAATGTAGAACAGTAAATTAAAAGGAATTATATTTTTTAGTCAAATGTATTCATTGACCCAGACATTGTTACTAAACAATGACCCTGACAGACACAAGAAAAAATAGTAAAAAAAAAAAAAAATCATTTCAGACATAAATTAACAGGAATACGAGAGAGTATAAACATGATAGAATAATATAATCCAACAAAAGTAAAGAAAATGATACAAAAGACTTGTGAAATGATAAAAGATAAGCAAAGATACTTGGAGTCTCTAAAGAGGAAAAGTTATGGAGCAGAACACATGTACAACTAGTTTTTGTTTCTTAACGACAGCAATATGCAACACAGTTGCAGGCAAGTGTACACAAGGTCACTGGCGTGGTTTGGCAATGTGTGGAGCATTCTGGATTAGCAGACCTGGGCGGTGACTCCCAGACAGCCTTGAGTTTTCTAATCTGACAACTTGGTTTTGAACTCCAGTCATACACTTATAAATTACACGTGGTAGATTTGTCGTCAGGGAAAATGGCAGCAGTAATCCACCCCTTGGGTAGGCCCCTCCCATACTGCGGGGCTTGGCCTTACGACCTGCACTGGCCAATGAGGGAACAGCAAATCCAAGGCAGTCTGGATTTGCAAAGTGCCTGTGCCTGCGCTCATGCTACTTCTGAATGCAGCCACCTTGCACAAGCCCTGCTGAATAATGAGAGATGTGTGGCACGTTCCCATCACCCAGCGGACGTTGAATTCCTTCCCCCACCGCCCCCAGATACAAGGCCCCTTGGACATCTAGCCCCCCTGAGCCAACCCAGCAAACTCACAAAATCATGAGAAATAAATGTTTGCTGTTTTAAATCGTTACGTTGTTAGGTGGTTTATGAGGCAGCAAAAACTAATTTATACACTACATGATTTTAGGTGAGTTAATCTCCCTGAGTCTCAATTTTATCATCTGTAATATGGAGGTAAAACAAGTACCCCTGGAACGCTATGTGGCACCGCAGAAATATCCAAATAATAAAAACTAACACGCTCTGCAGCCTGAAATGGGTCTGTCCTCAGGCTGGGCACATTGCTTTCTTTTTTCTTTTTTTTTTTTTAATCCTCACTCGAGGACATTGTTCCATTTTTGTTCAGATAGAGTGGGAGGGAGAGAGAGAGAGAGAAACATCGACGTGAAAGGGACACATCGAGTGGTCGCCACCCACACAACCCAACCAGGGCCGGGGACAAACTGCAACTGACATACATGCCCTTAGCGGGAACCGAACCCGGGTCTCTCTGGACTGCAGGCCGACGCTCTAACCGCTGAGCAAACGGCCAGGGCCACATTGCTTTAGTATGTTGTGAGCGATCTAGAACGCCAGAGAAAAGCACGTGAAAGAACTGAAAGGATGGGCAGCAGCGACCAAGACATGAAGTGGCCTGCCCCAGGTCACAGTACCATCACTTGTGT